GCTCGTCAATTCTCTCTCTCTCTCTCTCTCTCTCTCTCTCTCTGCGTGTGTGTGAAACAAAGCGACGGCGAGTCGTGCGCCTTCACACTAGAGTTTATGGTACGTCAAATACAGGTGCATTGCACATCTTTTCAGATGAACTGAAAAATATCACAGATCACTTGATGGAGAGAGAAACTCTGAAGCGCTCAGTCAGAGTGTTCGGCGAGTGAAAATATATCTGTACTTATACTTAGCCTCCTACTCACACACTGGCGAGTAAAATCTGAGAATTTATCACTTTTTCATACTGTTAATGGTGCAGTAAAGTGCACCCTTTACCTTTTCAATTAATATCAATCGATATTAATATCAAAATATTAATATAAATATTAGCAGACATTTGAGGGGTTTTTTTACATTTAAAATGTAATCTGTGAAAGGTCACATAGTAAAGTTTTTTGAAGGTTTGTAAAGAATTGCTTGGGCAAACATCGATTGTCTGTTTGCATGTAGATGAAGGTGTGTGTCTTTAATAGTTGTTGTTTTGCCTGCAGCGTGTCAGAACTTCTGGACCTGTATGAGGAGGATCCAGAGGAGATCTTGTACAACCTCGGCTTCGGGCGTGAGGAGCCCGACATCGCCTCAAAAATCCCTTCTCGTTTCTTCAACTCCTCTTCTAGCGCCAAGGGCATCGACATCAAAGTTTACCTGGGAGCCCAGATTCAGCGCATGGAGCTGGAGAACCCAAACTACGCCCTGACAAGTATGTAGACCGTGCTGTCAACACGATCCACGGCATCTGATAGTACTTCAGCCCCCGTGGTTTACACCACCGTGCCTGTGCACGTTCAAAATCATGGAAGCATGAAAGGAAATATTAAATGTTGCAAGAAGGGGTGTAGCTTTACAGCATTTAGTAATTTCTATGTTTGTCCCGCTTTTTTATTTGAGAAATAATCATAGTTTCGTTTCGCTAGCCATGGTGCAAAGAAAAAACATTGTAGCCAGGCAACTGGACAACTTTTAAGTCAACACAAAGTCAAAATTGACTGTTTACTTTATTAATGCACGGTCTTATTGTACGCGTTATTCCAAATAAAAAAATGTTTGTCATAGAAATCTTTTATCAAATTAAGTTAATACGTTTGTCTACCTTTCGAAATTAATTTCCTTTTTGGCCCACATGCAAAACATTCTCCAATAACTCCGGGTTTTCTATTTTCCGCTCCTCGCTCACTCCCTGCTCATATTTGAAAGCAAAATTTGCACATTTACCTATCTACTACGTATTTCTGAATCATTTTTCATAATCTCTGTAATATTTCACAAATCTTTATTGTATTTTGTTTGCTTCTAGTCTATTAGTGTTGTTTTAATTAAATGCATATTTCTGACATGCAATCAATTTTAGTGATGAATGATATGTACATTTTCCATTGGTATTAATTACTGATATTACAAATTTTTTCTTTATTGTTATTATCATCAATTATTTAATTGTGCATGTTAGCTTAAAGTTAATCTTCAAAAATGGTTTAATAAATATTTAAATATTAAAAATGTTTTAACTAACGTGAATTATTATAGTATTATATAGTACCAAATATTAGTAAAGTTAAACTAATAAATTAAAATGAATAACTTCATAGATATTTTTAAAAAATTAATTACAAAAACATCAAAACTACTCAGACTTTAACTAAAAATGTAAAGTCTAATTCAAAATAATAACTAACTATAATTTATTTTTATAATTTTAAATAATATTTTTATAATAATAAATACTTTTTTGAGGTAGTAGTGACATTTTTATTATTTTATGTACTTTAACAGATTACACTTCAATTTAATGCTGCTTGTGGTGCAGAAAATTGGACACTTTACCTTTTAAATTTAAATATTAAAATACTACTATAACAGAATGTTAAATTAATATAAATTTATTTAAATAAACATTTAACAGTGCGAATCTCAAATTGTAAAACCACTGTTTTTATACTGTAGATTGTAAGATAATGATACAAATTCACTTGTATTACAATTAAAACACTTATTTTAAATGCTACATTTTGATAAAATAGTGTAGAATTTTTATTATCAGCCATTACATTAAAAATATTTATCTAAATATCGGTATCAGCCATAATTTTAATAACACTTCATCCTTAATTGCGTTATTGCTTGTTAACGTGGAGTCGGAGCGATCTTGGAGAACAGCACTTCTCACTAGACAGTCTTACGCTACTGGATGCATGTATCTAACCATAAAGAAGAAAGACAAAGACAGCCAGGCAAGAGTTGAGGGAAGTTGTGGTGCCTAAAGGAGAAGTGTGTTTGATTTTAAGATCACATTGCAGAAAGCTTTGTGCTCATTTTTCAATAACTATATATCTTCAAGCAAATGCTGAGCTCTGAGCCTTCCAACACTCGCTGATCAACAACGAGTGCTGTACAGACTCAGCTCAATAGAAGTAGAGCACAGCGAAGCCATTGTCCTCCATGGGCACAGAAACGAGAGGGAGAGACAGACGGCAGCAGAGAGAGAAAGTGTCATGCAGGCTGTGGCACAGCAGAGCTGATTCTGCCATCCGCTCACATCAGGATTCAGCCTGTGTGCCAGCTCTGTGCCAGCTTGTGTATTGGCCTACATTTGCATAATTCTCAATGAGCCAAGACAAAGCAGCGGAACAGGAAGAACCTGGGTGAGGGTAGGAATGTGTGAAGTCTGTAATAAGGCCTGGTTTTGTTTGCCTGTTTGATTGTGAGTGCACTGCTTTTGGCTTCAGGATTGTTTTGCAGCTTAGTTTTAGTAAGAGCTTGTGCACATTCGGCTGACTTTAGCTAGCCTGGCTTTGAACTATTGGGCCAAAATTTTAATTTTAATATCATTAATATTAAAGTCTCTCTGTCTGTCTTTGTATTTTTATTTATATGTATGTATATGTATGTTATTATAGTTAACTGAAGTTAAAACCATTAAAGGGGTCATATGATGTTGCTAAAAAAGGAGATTATTTTGTGTATTTGGTGTAATGAAATGTGTTTATGCAGTTTAAGGTTCAAAAAACACATTATTATGAGGGTAGGAATGTGTGAAGTAAATGTAAATGTAAAGTCTCTCTCTGTCTGTCTTTGTATTTTTATTTATATGTATGTTATTATAGTTAACTGAAGTTAAAACCATTAAAGGGGTCATATGATGTTGCTAAAAAAGGACATTATTTGGTGTATTTGGTGTAATGAAAAGGTTAAAAAAACACATTATTTTCCACATACTGTACATAATTTTTTCTCCTCTATGCCCCGCCTTTCTGAAACGCGTAGATTTTTACAAAGCTCATTGGTCTGAAAAGCGAGGTGTGCTCTGATTGGCCAGCTATCCAGTGCGTTGTGATTGGCCGAATACCTCAAGCGTGTGACGGAAATGTTATGCCCCTTACCATACTGCGATGCCGTGTCCCGGCCGGAGCGACGAGACAAAAACATTAAAACCAATTATAAACAAAGCATTTGTTGCATCCATTTGGGACATAATTATGGATTATAATGACTTATACTGTCTTTTTACTCGTTGAATCGTGCCGTGTAAACATAAAACCATGTCTGCATTTGTGATCAGAGAAATGACAAACAACAAGCGCTACTCTACACTACTCAAAACTCGCGTTTGAATCATAAGTGGCAAATTGTTTATATATAAAAAACTTACAGTCTGTGAGTCAGAACAGCCGGCATTGTAGTCTACTCTTCCAGGATCAGGAAACAGTCCTCCATAAAATGCGCTGCACACATCTGAACATTTGGGTTAAACTGTTCTGGAACAGTGTTGTAAATACAACTTAACCACTGATTTCTAGTCGTGTCCTCTTTTGGAAGGCCAAACAAAGAAGTTTCGCTTTCACAATGAAACACAGCGTCTTCACGACATGGCGGCAACAACAATACTACAGCGAGAATAAAAGTTACGCCTTCTTTCTTTGCGTGAACATTTGGGCGGCGTTATGCAAATCTTCCTACATAGTGATGTAGATATGTGGGGGCGTGTTAGAACGAGCCGTTTTAGGTAGGCGTGGTTGACTCTTAACTTTTATAAAGAATATCTCTTTGGATTTGAGACTTTAGTCTTTGCAACTTTACAGGTCTTCTTTATGCACCAAGAGCTTGTAACACTCCAAAGAGAAAGGAAAAATTTAAATTGCATCATATGACCCCTTTAAAAAAAAAGTTTTCATAATTTCAAAGAAAAGAAAAAAACGAATGAAATAAAATAGAAAAAAAAACTTAAACTATTTTTATTCCAGCTAGTGTCCAAGGTAACATTTATTATTTTAATTTTGTTTAACTTCAGGTACTAATTGAAAAACTAAAACTAATGAATAAAATTTAATAAACTATAACTATATAGACAAAGAACACAAAAAACTAATAAAACGCAACAAAATTGCTAAACCTAAAATTCAAGTGAAAACAGAAAATATAGAAAAATAAAATCTAATAAACTAATACATACATTTATATGTATATGTGTATAGCTTTTTGAATGTAGTTATTCACTGTTTATTATTTTGTTCATAAAATAACTAACTTTACTTTAAAATAGTAATAAATATATTTTTATACAACAATTTGTCACTTATGTAAATTAATTTAAATAAGTATTAATGTTATTGATAATGTTATTGATAATATAAGTACTTGTTACTTATTACATAGTACATTATATTAGTAATTACAGTAATTATTTACAGTAAGTAATTATTACAGCAATTATTTAATAAATTATTATTTATTTAATTATTTAGTAATTACAAGTTACAAATTACAAGTAATTACAATAAAGCAATTATTTAAGTAAATGATAAAATAATGAACTAGGAAACAAATTACGATCAATAGAGCAAATGGTAACACTTTATTTTAAGGTGTTCTTGTTACACGTTACATGTACTTACTGTTATAATAACAATAAATTATGCAATTGCATGCAAGTAACCCTAATCCTAACCCTAACCATATAGTAAAGTACATGTAGTTAGTTAATATTACTCAGTACTTAAATGTATAATTACACTGTAATAAGGACACCTTAAATTAAAGTGTAACCGAACAAATAATATTACTAACAGCAACAAGTCTATTAAGTTACTACTGCAGATGTTTTGAGATATATATATTTTTTTTTTCTGCCACTTGTTTATATTCACTTAAGACAAAACCAACCCACTAGGTGGGAATTTTGACCAAGAAGTATATGTGAATGTTTATTCACATTACAGTGAGGTGTTCTGTGGATTTGTTCTCCCATGTCTTGTTGACTTTTCTTACATACGTCTTGCTTCTTCCTCCACAAATGCTCATCTGTGGGGGCTGTGATCTCGAATCAGACATGCTTGTCCTTCTCTCACAGAAAGCCACGCTCTCTGTTCCTCTTTTCTTTTTCTGGCACATGTCCTGCCAGCCGTTCCCGAACACTGACTCAGACAGCCTGGCTGCATTGCAGGAGATAAATGAAGACTATTGATATCTGAGCAGCACACATCACTGGCTTGTTATCACTTGTTATCATTCCATTACATGCCTGCAGTATTGTCAAATCCTTTTCCTTTATGTCTGCCAGAACAAATGACGAGCTTGATGTTGATAAAGACCATCAAGTCACACAAAAGTTGCCGTGTTTTGTACAGGATCTCGTTTTTGCAACGGGAAGCTTTGACATTTTTGAGTTTTCCAGATCGCACGGATTCTTATTGGAATGACTAAATTTTGTTCGCCAGATTTTGTAGAACAACGGTATATATGACCAGACCTTAAACAGAAACGGTTCTCGACTCTTTTTGAATCTGACAGGATTACCTGCGGTTTTGGTGAGCAAATTTGAGCAGTCTAATTTGAAATGCAGTTAATCCATTTCAGAAATTATTTTATTTGTCAGTTATCATTCATTCGTTTGTTCGTTCATTTATTTGTTGAAGCTCTATACAATTCAGAATATATTATAGTATATTATATTACAGTATATTATATGCAATCTATTATTTATTGAGTATTAATATGAAAAAAATACAATATTAACAACAACAATTATATATTTTATAATATTATTATATTAATATATTATTCTTTGTTTAAAGCCCTAAAATACATTATAGTTTATGTTAATGTCAAAATATATTATATACAATATTAACAAAAACAACAATATAATATTATATGATACAATATAATACAATAAAATAATATATAATATAATAATTGTATAGCCTAATAACAATTGTGTTGTTGTTATTATTATAATTTTTGTATATTAATGTACAATTAATATTTTTTATTTCTTGAAGTTTTTTTTTTAATTGCCGTAGCAATTGCAGGAAACACTGCTTAAAGTTGACCGTTTCTCTAGTGTTTTCTATTGTTTCTGTTTTAATTTCTTTAATTTTTCTCTTTTTTTTCTTGAGTAAATAAAAGTTGCCGTTGGAAGCAAGCAGGAAATTGTCTATTCTAAATCTCTCCTTCTTTTTCTGTAGGTCGGTTCCGTCAAACAGAAGTTCTGGCCACGGTGGCAAACGTCTTCTCTGAGATCTACTCCCAAGTGTCTGGAAGACCCATGGAGAGAATCGGCAGCGGCGACACAGAGACTAAAACCCACTCTCCATTAAAAAGGAATAATTCAGCACTAAATGCAGCCAAGATCCTAAAACGGAACATTACGAAACAGAACCTGCTGGCCTCTGTCATGGAAGGAGCAGCCAAACAGCTTTCAGCGTCTGACGCTGACAACACGGAAGGTGCAAATTCTGACGTACGGGCCGGACTGATGGATACCGAGCACAAACTACAGCAGAAAGGCTTTAGGAAAAAAGATTCATCTCTGGCCACAGTGACCGAAGAGGCCCAGCAAAGTATCTCAGAGGCTTCAGTCAACGGAGACGTCCCAGAACCTTTGCCCAAAGACTCTACGTTAATGAATGGTGACCACTCCACTGAGACACCAGCTCCGGATAAAGACGTGCCACTTTCCCCTGTCCAGGTGAGCATCAGTCGGGTGTCCGACGAGAGTGACTTCAAGATACTTGAGCACCAGGACACCATCACTTCCACCCTAGATAACGAACCATCCAACCTGTTGCCCAACCCACACATAGCCCACCTACTCAGCCAATTCAGCACTAAATGCAGCCAAGATCCTAAAACGGAGCATTACGAAACAGAACCTGCTGGCCTCTGTCATGGAAGGAGCAGCCAAACAGCTTTCAGCGTCTGACGCTGACAACACGGAAGGTGCAAACTCTGACGTACGGGCCGGACTGATGGATACCGAGCACAAACTACAGCAGAAAGGCTTTAGGAAAAAAGATTCATCTCTGGCCACAGTGACCGAAGAGGCCCAGCAAAGTATCTCAGAGGCTTCAGTCAACGGAGACGTCCCAGAACCTTTGCCCAAAGACTCTACGTTAATGAATGGTGACCACTCCACTGAGACACCAGCTCCGGATAAAGACGTGCCACTTTCCCCTGTCCAGGTGAGCATCAGTCGGGTGTCCGACGAGAGTGACTTCAAGATACTTGAGCACCAGGACACCATCACTTCCACCCTAGATAACGAACCATCCAACCTGTTGCCCAACCCACACATAGCCCACCTACTCAGCCAGCCCAGAGACTCGTTTGAAATGGAGGAGGTACGGTTCTCTCTTGCTTCCACTTTAACAAAACAATCCTCCCTGCTTTTCCTTGTCCAGTTCTCACGCCGACAATCATCTCCAAGCTTCTCCTAAAGTTTTTTTTGTTGTAAAAACAGCAGAGGGTCATGACACTCCAAGCTAAAAATAAGTAGGGAACATGGAGCGCCTGGAGGATGTTCTGGGGATTATGGTTTTGCCTTTGATAATGTTAAAGCATGCTACTGGATCCTGATAGCAGACAATGTTCATCAGTGATACTCAAGTCCGGCTTGCCGCAAGTTTATCAGTGGCCAACACCATGGCCTCCAAAACTTACATTTAAAGCTGAAGTGTGCAGTTTTTGACGCTAAAATATTTCCTCCTACCATTTTCTGCTATTTAGCATTGCTTTCAACATAAAAGTAAAAGTTCTTTACTCATTTTGAGTTTGATATTATATTATGCACTTTAGTTGAGCAAGTGAATCATCTGAGCTGATTCTGTCCATGATTCAGAAAGATGACTCCTGCACACATTTCAGTCTGATTTGTGATGCGATTCGACTGTTTCAATAAAAATATTATCAGTTTTTTAAGCCCTATACTACTCTTATATTATATTGTATTAAAATTTTTGTATATCAATATTGCTGCTTATTTATTCATTTATTAGTAGTATTTTTTAATACAGTATTTTATTAGCAGGAAGCATATATTATATTATTATATTATATATTATAAGAATTGAATAGTCAAAAATAATAATTGTAATTTACTATTATTAGAAAATAACAATAGTAATAATAAATATAATTTTTAATATCAGTGTGCAATTAATATTGGTACTGCTTATTTATTTATTAGTAGTATTTTTTTATACAGGATTTTTTTTTTAGCAGGAAACATTGCATGGTTTTGAAACCATGCAATCTTTTTTGAAAAAAGAATTTCTTGTGCTCAGTGGAGCACAAAAGATGATATTTTGATAAATGTCTTGTTTTTGCACATGTAATTAAAGTCAGTGTACAGTGTACTCCAAGTATTTATTTAGTGCTCTGCAGAAGCAAGTCAGTAAGTCATATAGGTTTGGACCAACATGAGGGTGAGTAAATAATGACACTTTTAATTTTTGGTTGAGTTAAGACAATTACAAGTAAACCACTTGTTACACTGTAACTTTGTCTCTTATAGCTCTATTTGTTTGAGCATCCCGACACGGTATGATATAGTAACACTGGCTCGACCTATAGTGTGAGTTTGGGGTGTGACTGTTTGTTTGTCCAAAAACCCAGTACTTTTATCAGGTCATTTTATATGCTGGCCTCTGGTCATACTGCATTTTCTAACGATGGCTCATGAGTTGCATAATTTGAGTATCTAAAAATGGTGTAATTTTCAAGTGTCAAGTCAGACTGGTAATGATCGATTTCTTTGCAGTTGCAGAGTAATGAGGATGAAGCTCTTCCTGGTCCTGGTGGCATGTCTCAAGCTGGCAGCGGTAAGTGTGGATGGACTGCGGTTATCAGTCACACTACCAGGAAACCGAATGTGTATTTGTGTCAAAAGCTATATGCCATTTTGAATCAAAATAAATATCATGTAAAAGAGACTTCTTAGCAACAGGTTGTGTTAGTTTGGCTATGGTATTGTTTACAACATCTGTGAGATTTGGATTGCTATATTAGGCTTTTTTTTTTTGATTGTATTGAGTTAAGAAAAAAATGCTTTCAGACTCATTCCTCTTGAGAACGCAACGACCGTGTGATCAAATCCGGTTGTCTTTCCCTAAAGAAAAACACAGACACTCTTTCCAAGAACGCAGAGGAAGACATATCTTATTTAAACACTAGACATAGCTGCCTTACAGCCCAGCCCTAAAGAGCTGAAGGAGACTTTAATATGTGTTTTAGATCAAGTATGGATCAAGTCTGCCCTCGTGTGGTAGAATTCAGTAGATGTTCACTATTCAAGTATGTAGAAGAATTCTGGCTTCAAGTTAAGTTTTATCAATAGCATGTGTGTCATTATGAAGATTTCAAAATAAAATATTTGAGCCATAATTATGTTCTGTCTTAAGCAACATTGTGCTACCACAAAGCTTTATTTGTATTCAAACGTTCCTCAAAGTAGGTTATGGAATTACATTAAAACAGCGATATGAAAACAAAAATAGGTGGCAGACTGAACCTAAATAATTAGATATAAGCCTTAAAACTCATAAGCATTAATTATAATAACTGGCTTGATTTTTGAGAAGTCTTTGACTGCTGGGAAATCAGTCAGTCACACTCAGTTTTGGTGCTCACGTTGTGTCTCCCTATAGAGAGGTTATTGAGGACTGCCAGCCAGCAGTCTGACAGCAGTGGGTTTGCAGAGGACCTAATCACAGACGGTTTGGTTAATCACCTGAAGGTACGTGAGTGTGGGCATAACCATCTGGGCTCTATACAGCCTATGAATACAAAAATTGTCATTCTCCTCGAACCCAGTAAAAAAAAAAAAAAAAAAATTTGTTTGAATTTAACTTGCACTGATATCAAAAAGTATGAAAACTTAATATAATTTAAAAGTTTTATATATATATATTTAAAATATTTTACAATAGGAAAATTATTATTATTATTATTTTAAAAATGAGTATTTTTAATTATTTATGTATTATTTATATAACTATATTCTGTAAAATACAAATTATATGAATAATAATCAAATAAATTAGCAGTGCCTCCATTTAAATGAAATGTAATAAAGTGTTTTTTTTCTGAATATATTTGCCACCGAAATCTCAAATTCCATTAAATGTAAATAAACCAAATTTGCACTTAGCTATGTTATAAAAGATATTATAGAATAAAATGCAGATGTTTGTTATACTTATTGGTTTAAACTACGTTTTATTAAAAACGGATGTTCCCAACCTCATTAATATTGTCTAGTAATTTATGAACATGCTTTCTGGCTACTAGTAATACAAAGCGTGCGAATATTGACTTAAATAAGTTACATAGGAATATCTAGTTTTTCATAGGAATATGAATATGTTGTAAGTAGTGGACGTTGTCATGGTCTAACCCAGCATTTGGTATCTCTGAAATCTTGGTATCCTCTAAATCTTAAAATAATTTCTTGAAATGATGAATTAAGATGTACCAGAACTTAAAATTGTGGCATATGTGTTCATAGGGGAATTTACAAAACATAAACGAGGACAAAAATAAATTGCTGGGTTCTTTCAACATCAACGTTTCTAAGAACCAGTCCTTCATTGGATAATGGAAGTGAAACTTCTCTCTTGAATTTTCTTAGGTACAAGAAAGCTCAGATAGTTGTGACAGCGAAACCACAGTGACATCACATGCAGGAGAAGTCCGCACACCCACAGCATTGGAGTACCCCAACTTTGAGAGGTTGCGGGGTGAGGAAGCCCATCCTCAGTCCAACAAAGGAACATTTAGCCAGAGTGGAGCCAACCGAGAAGTCCCTGAGATCAGCAGCCTCCAGATTCCCAATTCAGACTCTGACAATATTAGCACCAATGGACTGCTTCTTTCTCCTGACTCTGATAGGGCTTCCATAGTTGAATTCAATTTCACCACAGCGCAAAAACCCACCACAGACTCTCCAGAAGTAGATTTGAGTACAATGGTAGATCCTGCAACAGTTTCCATCTTGGATGTAGCTCATGAAGGCAACATATCACAGCCTGGTTTAGGCATAGATCTAGACTCCTCTGAGGATTTACGTCCATCCTCTGGACCAGAGTCTTCAGATCTTCCAGAGTCTTCAGATCTTAAGCAATGCAACCCTACGACTCAAAGAAGACAAATGGCCCTCCAAACAGTCCATCAGAGGTCATCCTCTATGGACGAGGAACGTCCCGGCCGAGTATGGGTGAGGGACAGGAACTTGCTAAGGGAAAGCTTGGAGAGGAATCCTTTAAGGAGATCTAGCTCCCTCCCAACATCTCAGCTCAGCCCAGCTCGAGTGGTCACCTCCATGCGAATCCAACTCGGAAAGGGTTCGGTCAAGCACTGTACCCCACCCTCGTACTCGTACCGCTACGACGAAGAGAATCGCAGTGACCGAGAAGAAGTGGATTCCATTAGGGAAGAAGATGAAGTAGATCATGCTGGTGGCCAATCAACTCTCTTAAATTCTGCTCCAGCAGGTGGTTTAAAGACGGGCAGGGGAACACCACCACACCTTCTCAACGTACCCCAGCATCTGACTCGCTCTTCCAGCTCACTTTATAGTGTCCCTGCAGACTGGCCTCAGAGGCCCTTGGGAGAAGGTCCAAACTGGAGCACATGTAGCGTCCCAAACCTTAATCAATTTACAGGTCCGGGCCACCCTCCTCCTCATGGGTCCTTCTACTCTCCACATCAAGGAGTGGCCTACAACTCCTCGTACCCTACCAGACTTCCCCACCACAATCCCTATCCACAACCACAGAGCTCACCTTATCCTCAACCTCTTCAGAGCAATGCATTTACTCCAGCACAGGGGGCGCCATTTACACCCCAGCACAATATGCATTATGCTCATCCGCACAGTGCTCCTTACAGCCCATTCTACTCACCTTATCACATTCCTCAGGGAGCTCCCTACGGCCCCTCGTTGAACATGCACGGCAGCCCATATCAACCTCACGTCTCTCTCGCGCAATCCCACAGCGCCCCCTACAGTCTGGGCTACAACGGTTCTCCTCATCACCCTGGCGCCCTATACAGTCATCCATACTATCCATCTCCCCCCTTCCCTTGCTCTTTTGAGACGCCTCCTGCCCCCGTACCTGCGATGGGCAGCACAGAGATGCAGCTCAGGAGGGTCCTGCATGACATTCGTGGGACAATGCAGAATCTTGGTCAGGTAAGAACTGCCAAAATTCTTTGTATACTTATGTATTACATGACCTGATTTCATGACTCTCTAAACAATCTTAACCTGTGGTAAATGTGGTTATTAATGAGGCTGTGCCTGCCATGCTCATATATTTGCATGGGCTGAACTGTTTTGTTATTTACACATAACAGTGATTGGAAACATGGAGTGGGATGTGTCCCAAACAAGTCGAGACGAGAAAGAACTTCTTAAGGAATGTTGCTAGTGAAGTGGAATTGAGATGTTTATGATTACCAAGCAGTGTTGCAACTAGTATTGATTTTAATATAATATTATTAAAATTGATACTAGCTGCAACACTGTTTGGTAATCGTGATAATCAAAATCAGCATTTTTTGTTGTATTTTATTATTATTATTAATAATAATAATAATAATAGTGACAATAATAATAATAATAATAATGCTGTTATTACATAAATACAATTACATTTATTCTTATATATTTATAAATAAATACTTTCAAAATCAAAACAGAAAATCATCAAAGGATTTTTTTATTTGTGTTTATGGTATTTCACTCTGTTTAAAACTGTTGTGCTGCTTAATATCTGTGGAAATATATTTTTGTCAAGATTCTTTGATTTAAAAAAAACAGCATACTGTAGATTTTAAATGGAAATTAGAAATCATTTGTATCAATGTTATGTCTTAACTGTTACTTTTGATCAATTAAATGCATCCTTGCTGAATTAAAATGTATTAATTAAAACAATCTGTCATATACACTTATACATATGATACACACATATACATGTCTGGTAAGCCTCTGACCTGTAATAACTGTTTTGTTTTGCACAGTAATATATCTGCATAAAGTAGAACAAGGAAGTGTGTTCTGTTTTTTTGCGAATCCCACCCGAAATGCAAATAATAAGCCGAGTCAGCATTCTGCATTATCCTGGGCTCAGTTTAGACATGCTTTTCCTGTGTGACTCATAAGCCATAACCGATCTGTGGTTTTGTTGGCAGAGCTCATCCGTGCATGGAGGGGACACACCCATTGACAGGATCAGTACACCGCGCTCTGTCCAACCGCTTTATGAGGTACATCATTTCCCAAAGATGAAGCAGTCACATGCTAGTTCTTTTTCATAAACCTGAGTTGCGTCACTAGAAGCCTCTAATGAAATTGAGATGCTCATATAGCTTGTGCATGAGTAGTCTTTAACTCATTATTTTTGTCCCTACTGACTTGCTGTGTGCTGCAGGAGCTCCAGATGCGGCGTAGGAGTCTGAACGTCTTCCGGACTCAGATGATGGATCTGGAGCTGGCTCTCATGAGACAGCAGTCTATGGTCTTCCAGCATCTTAATCCAGATGAGAGGTGAGGAACTCATAGGTCCCCAAATCACAAGCCACAAAGAGCAAAAGCTCTTTGGTCTAGAAGGTCTAGAAAGCCAAAAACCTGTTCTTTTTGTGGCATATATCAGGGGTCTGAGGACCACAAAGAAATTAAGAAAAAATATAATACAAAATCTATTTTGTACCATAAATGATGTTAAGTAAAGAGTTAAATGTTTTATTTTTTTACATTCACCAAAATAATAAACTCAATCCTTAAAAAGAACAAACCGTGAATACTCAACTTAAAGTCCGCGTGAACCAGAAGTTGCTGCCGACTTTATTTCGGTGTAGTGACGTATTTCCATCTGAAACGGAATATTGAATAGAGGGCATGGTTTTATGTTTGCGCTCCTCCTCTCTGTCTCTCACTCATAGCAATCTAATGGTTAGAGGGGTGTGTTTAGAAGGATATTCTGCCCAAGGCGTCAAACTGACGTCATCGGAGAAGGAATGCCATTCCAGAGCGGAAGTAAATGTTCAGATTTTGATTAAAGATTACGAAGACAAACAATCTTTTTCAGAGGATTAACTTGCACGGATTAATTGTTTACATCAAGACTAGCAATGCACGCTAGTAAAGTAAATAAAGTAAATTTTGATTTCATGCGGACTTTAAGATTATGTATATGTTTGCACCATGGTTATAATGTCTAATAAAAATATAAATATTATATTAATTGCCTGTTGTACTACATGCCGAAAGGCGGATATAGCCATAAAGTAATCATTAAACAAAGAACCCTAAAATGTGTAAACAAATCATAAATACTAATGATTTATCGGCATATCAGAATGATTTCTGAAGGAGAATCACGTGACACTGAAGACTGGAGTAATGATGCTGAAAATTTAGCTGTGCCGTCACCGGAATACATTATATTTTAAAACATATTAAAATAAAAAACACCTATTTTTAATTTGAATAATATTTCACTGTTTAAACAATATTATGTTTTAAATTTCCTGTAGCACTGAATAAAAAGACAGATATAGCAATACATCAATCGTAAAACAAATGATCCTAAAATGTGTGAACAAAATATAAATACACTGTAAAAATGCAGTTTTCTTATTACTTTAACAAAAAATTAAGTTATATGTAATTCAGCGTAATAATTGCATATTAATTATTACGCTGAATTACTTAGTAATTACTTAGAATTAGTTACGCAATAACTAATAATAATTAGTTATTGCTTTTCTGTATCAACCTTAAATTCATATGATCGTTGCCTCCTCGAATAGCGACTTGTCAAGTATTTACTGCCTGTTCACCAAACTGTGATCAAAACCGAACTGTGAGAAACTTGAATCCTTGCATCTTTTATTGGGGTTTGTGATGTTGCAGGCGGGAGGCAGAACAACTTCAAGCACTGCGGTCTGCTGTCAGGCTGGAGCTACAAGAGTTGGAGCTGCAGTTGGAAGATCGTCTGCTCTCCCTGAATGAACAGATGCGCAGCAGCTCGCAGCACAGCAACCTCTACCGTCACCACATGGTCAGTGCATGTAATGGCAACTTCCACATAATGAATTAAAACTGTAATTATGACGTAATGGCATAGCTTAGACATATTCTGCTTTACCTAATATGCAATCTAAAGTATTTTTCTGTTAGATGGTAATAGAACAAAACATTTATTTCTCATTTTATTATAACCTCTCAGGATTGGAAGTACAGACTAGTCTAAATGTGAATTCCAGTGTGAATTTCACTAAATCTGATATATTTAGAATAACCATAAACAGACATTACATTGTGATTGTGTAATATCTAAAACATTGTTGAGTTAAATTTACAGAAACAATAACTATCACTGTTCTACACCATTAGTTGATGCACAATTTTGGTCACACCCTTAGCACAGACTGAAATGGGAAAACTAGTCAAGTGAAGAGTACAGTTTAAACCTTTGTGGTCAGTAAGATTTTTTTTGTTTATCTTTTTTTTTTTTTAAGTTATTAATTTTGAGCAGGGATGTATTAAAATTGATCAAGAGTAAAGACAACTTTGAAGTCACAAATATTTTTTGTTTATTAATCAGAGAATCCTGAAAACCAAATGTATCATGGTTTTCACAAAAATATTAAGCTGCACATCTGTTTTCAACATTGATAATAATTTTTCTAGTTTCTTGACTAAAAATGTTTCTTGAGCAGCGAATAAGCATATTAGAATTATTTCTGGAGACACTTGTGACACTAAAGACTGGAGTAATGATGCTGAAAATTCAGCTTTGTGTCACAGGAATAAATTATATATTTTAAAATGTATTCGAATAAAAAGCAGTTATTTTAAACTGTAATAATATTTCACATTATTACTATATTTTTGTAAGTAAACGCAGCCTTGGAGAGCATAAGAGACTTCTTTCAAAAACAATAACAATTTTACAGACTTCAAACTTTTGATTTGTACTGTTGATGTTTTTTAACCTTTAGTAACAGATGTGTGTCTCGCAGGGCATGCACAGAGGTCACAGCATGGAAAGCCTGTCTAATTCTTCTGCACTGCGGGCCATGGAGCCGGTGAGTGGATTATTCTCATGTTACAGGGTCCTGTATCAGATATCATCTGCATGCCTTATTCTACTCTCAATTTCCTCTCATCCATTATAAATTCTTGCATGTGAATGTACAGGTGACCGACCTCCTGAAGGAGCAATTGTACCTTCAATCTGAACTGGGATATGAAGCTGTCACACCCAGTTCAGGCCGTTCATCGAGGGCATCCAGCCCTGGAAGACTCAACCAGACGCTCGAGTCTTGCTCTTCTTCCCAGCAGAGAGGCAGCGTTTACCGGGCCACCATTAATCTCACACCCACTGTCCCTCCACGGCCTGGAATGGAGGTTGCTCGGCCCGTTTCTCCAGAGAGAATGGAGGAGAGCATGACACCTGCTACCTTGGAGTTGTGCAGAGATGAGGACGAGATGTCACTGGATGGTCGCAGGAGCAGGACGACAGAGGACTACAGTCCCACCGAATGGAGGAGTAGAAGTGGAGGGAATGGTGACCTGCAACATCTCATACAGGAGGTGAGAGAACTAATACAGTTACCCTGATAAGAGGACTAAAATACAGCATTGCCAACAGCTAATATTAAGAAATATCTGACAGCTAAATGCCACAAATCAGAATTGTATGGTCTTATTTTCACCAAATATTTTTTTTTAAAGAAGATAAGACTTTTTATCTCACAGTTCTGACTTTTTCTACAATTCTGAGTTTGTATCTCTCAATTCTCAGAATTGTGAGATATTCTCTTTCAATTCTGTAAAGAAAAGGCTGAATTGTGAGATATAAACACTCAATTCTGTAAAGAAAAGGCTGAATTTGCTAGATATCAACACTCAATTCTGTAAAGAAAAGGCTGAATTTGCTAGATATCAACACTCAATTCTGTAAAGAAAAGGCTGAATTTGCTAGATATCAACACTCAATTCTGTAAAGAAAAGGCTGAATTGTGAGATATAAACACTCCATTCTGTAAAGAAAAGGCTGAATTGCAAGATATAAACACTCAATTCTGTAAAGAAAAGCCTGAATTGCGAGATATAAACACTCAATTCTGTAAAGAAAAGGCTGAATTGTGAGATATAAACACTCCATTCTGTAAAGAAAAGGCTGAATTGTGAGATATAAACACTCCATTCTGTAAAGAAAAGGCTGAATTGTGAGATATAAACACTCCATTCTGTAAAGAAAAGGCTGAATTGTGAGATATAAACACTCCATTCTGTAAAGAAAAGGCTGAATTGTGAGATATAAACACTCAATTCTGTAAAGAAAAGCCTGAATTGCGAGATATAAACACTCAATTCTGCAAAGAAAAGCCTGAATTGCAAGATATAAACAATCAATTCTGTAAAGAAAAGCCTGAATTGTGAGATATAAACACTCAATTCTGCAAAGAAAAGCCTGAATTGTGAGATATAAACACTCAATTCTGTAAAGAAAAGCCTGAATTGCAAGATATAAACAATCAATTCTGTAAAGAAAAGCCTGAATTCGAGTCCCTATGTTGAATTTTAGGTCTTACAGTATATTTAGTGTTTGATTTCCTGCCTTTAATGCAGACTAACATAATTTCTTATTCATCCTCCCGCAGATTAAAGAAAGTATCGCACATGAAATCAGGCAGGAGATTGTGAACGAGCTTCTGGCTGCTGTGTCACCGCATAGATCTCCTCTCCCGGCCAGGAAGCCCCCTGTGTAAGCATCATAACAGAGGATGGAGGTTGGTTTTGATGGATCACATTATGCTCAATACAGAACTGTTGATCTGTTGAATCTAAGATGTATACGTTAACTTGTTGAAATAAGTCTCTTATGCTTACCAAAGCTGCATTTATTTGATTACAGCACAGTAAAAACATAGTATTGCGACATATTACTAGTTTAAAAGACGGTTTTCTATTTTAATGTTTTAAAATGTAATTTATTCCTGTGATGGCAAAGCTGAGTTTTTAGCACCATTACTCCAGTCTTCCCTGTCACATGATCCTTCCGAAATCATTCTAATATGCTGATTTGGTGCTAAAGTAATATTTCTTGTTAAAAAAAAAAAGTCACTTGAAAATATTCAGCATTTTATCCACTATTTGTGTGGGCTGTGTAATTTTACTCTCAATAGAAGGCAGTAGGCAGGCAGCGCACTAGGTTTTGGAACAATCTTATCAATCAATATCACTGGTTTGTTGTTTTTAGCACCATTACTCCAGTCTTCCCTGTCACATGATCCTTCCGAAATCATTATAATATGCTAATTTGGTGCTAAAGTAATATTTCTTGTTAAAAAAAAAAGTCACTTGAAAATATTCAGCATTTTATCCACTATTTGTGTGGGCTGTGTAATTTTACTCTCAATAGAAGGCAGTAGGCAGGCAGCTCACTAGGTTTTGGAACAATCTTATCAATCAATATCACTGGTTTGTTTCCTTCGGCAGGTGAAGAAGAAGTAAATCCTGTGAAATGGTCAAAACGAACACTGGTTAAAGCTTTGCACTGAGAACGGCCCAGCACCTCTCTCTGGTTCGGTCTGTGAAGCCCTTCCAGACTCCACTGCTTCTGGACTTTAGAGCTGCAGGGAATCTGCTTATGCGTTCGAGTCCAGATTCCACATTTGCGGTGGTTGAGATCTTCCACTGTCCGAATCCGCAAAGGGCACGCAGCTTATTGTGGTATCCGTCTGGTACATATTGCTGCAATGTAATGAATCTTTTGGGATGTATTTAACTATGTGATGCAGGTCTTGTTGGATGGTTGCAGCGGTTGAAAAGATTTGTGGGAGACTAAAGTTTTCTGTGTGAGTGTGTCTTTGTCTGTCTAGGACAAAAATGTCTACTGTAATCAGAATTGTTTTCTAATTCAGCCTCTGTGAGGAACTAACTGTGCAATAAACTTTTTTCTCTCAAACTTGAACTGACCAATCACAACCACTGTTCTGCTCAAATGCACACTGCTGTCTTCATTTCCTGTTGATGGTCTATCACATACTGTATGTATAGACACTTAAGACACTTAAGCCTTCAAAGCACATTCATAAACATACTGTCCCGTGAGAAGAAAAAGCACTAAATACTCTTTATATATATATATA